AAAACTCCTTTTGACGTTCCCGAAATTTGACTAGCTTGTTATATTTGCTCTGTCAATATATTTTCGAAAATTCGTCAATATATACAAGAAAATAGAAATATATTCTTTATGGATGAAACGTGGGTTGATAATTTAAAAATGCTAGAGAAATGATAAGATTGATGCCATAGGCTAGATACTGGCGCCACTGACCTCTTTATATGGACTGGCTATACACGTGACATAATGAGGCGATTTGATTTTCGCCATTTTGGCGCTGACAGCAGAAGTGACCGTCTAAGGGACTAATAATAGAGATAAGATCGTGTGACAAAACATTTCGATAAAAATTCTATACCCAGGCCTACCCGTAAAGTCCTTACTATTTATGAATCATATTAATATAATGCTATACATTTAATAAATGTATCAATTAATACCTAGGCCTTAGACTTAAGCTTTATACCTCATACAAAACCAAGATTGACGCTGCGTTGGTCTATCTACGTTTTTATTCTTAACTACAGAACGGATTTTATTCCGGGTATCAAATGAGGAAACGCCTACGCATACCCGTTTAGCGGGGGCAATTATGTCGGACTCGCACCTACTAAAACCCCATGCTGTTTCACATTCGCCGCACATTGGCAGGGCCACAGAAAAGCTTTCAAATACATCCGCAGTCCTATCAGCGCCAACTGCCCAATAGCAGCCCCTCCTTAGTTGAGGACTTCTCCTCCCCTTTCCTTCTTAGATAAGGTACACCAAGAACACAAGGCACACTGCCCTTCGCGGCCCCAAAACTCCACCTGCACAACAGAATCCCCAGCACCAAGTGGTGTAGCCCCGCCAAAGTCGCGGAGGATAGTCGAGTGGCGCATTGCAGCAGTGATATAGGGAGAGGACTCTCTTCTAGCCGCAGCCCACTATCATATATCCAAGGGCTCAACAAGCCTACTCAGAGGTCTTGGACCAGCCCTTCACTTCGGGCCAGCCATGTGAGTCGGCCTACATTTACCATGGGTTACTAAGCCACGGCTACTAACCGCCCCCCCTACCAATACAAGGTGGGAACCCGTTTAGGGAGGAGCTATTTCTCACCTTAACTCACGCGGGCTCACTAAGGACATTAATAATTTTGCAGTCCCATTATAAATTTATTCCCTTGATATAATAAAGTGGTCATGTTTAAACAGAAATAACAAAATTACATCTTGTAAACACAGAGCCATCATCAAGTGACCTTTCTACACTTGGCTTTGAGTCTGGGGGAAAACAAGGAGAGAAGAAATAAAAAAAACCATTCGAAATAATAATCTAATACTTTTATACTTACTGGTACTGGTACTACCAGAAAATATTGTGGGTATACTGCACTTTTTCAAAGCGGTGCGTTTCTCATGTCTAGTTAATAAACATTTGATAACTATTTGTTGTCGGCGACTTTATGAACAGATATGGGTAGAGAAAAACATCGATAAATATTATAGACAAGGAACTTGACAACCCTATTGTATTTTATTGTGTATCAAAACTCAGTAATATAAAGCCAAACATGTTGGTTATTCATTAATTTAAAAAAAATATTAAGACAAGTAATAATTTTTTAAGTACTTATATTATCAAATAGTTTTAGTTTGCTTATTATCAGCTGTAAATTCACTTACTTGTGGAATGTTATTTCAGTTTCCTTTTAGTAACGTGTTTTACATTTTACGCACACTCTCATTATTATAAATAAAAAAAAATCAAACCACATAAAATACTTTCATTTTTTTAGTTCAAATGTTCAAAATACAGAGATACGATTTAAATAACACAACAGACTTTGGCATATTATGCCAATTTTAGTTCCTAGTACGGACAATGAGGGTGCTTCTAATCGGCAGAAGCATTTTGTATGGTATAGCCAGTCCAGCGTACTTATATATATAGAGGTCAGTGACTGGCGCATAGACCGACAAAGTGTTTAAGGGGGAAGAAAATTCCTTATGGCAAAAATGCGAGATAGAAAAGGATACCAAATTTCATGACTCTGTAACCGATTTTGAATGACAGGTCGTCACAAGTCCGCACGCAAGAAATAGCTCCTAGATATTTTGTAATTTTTTAGAGTGTAATAGTGGTTAATTAATAATATAGTATATATAAAACCAACTAATAATAAATTAGTTGGTTTTAGTAATTTACTTTTTTCCAAAATGGTTACTTGTTCTGTGAGTGACTGTGGTGTTAATAATAGAAACAATCCTGATAATTGCACATTTCACAGGTAAATTCTCAAGACATCGTCAATGTTATGATGCGTTTATTTTTGGATAAAATATAGAATGTTTTCAATTATTTTGTTAATTTTGATAATTGCAAAGAAAAAAGTCACGATGTTGATAATTAGCATGAATTTGGTAAATATATTTTTATACAAAATATTTTTCATTTACTCTAGGCATTGACTCAACTATATCAAAATTAATGTCAATATTTATCTTGAATATTTATAACTAATAGTAATAACGAATCAATAGACTTGTCCACACAACAAGAAATTAAATTCTCGATTTGCGTTCTAAAATGCAATTTTATTTTGCCGTTTGTCAAACAGATTCCCTCCGGATTCTATAATTAGAAAAAATGGTTAAGGTTAATTAGACGGGTCAGTTGGAATTCAAATAAGAACTCAACAATTTGCAGCAAACATTTTCTTGAGAAGTATAAAAGAAAAAGTAGAATAAAAACAATTATATTAAAAGGAGTCATTTCTATATTATTTGTACCAGTAAGTAGAATATTGTTATAATAAGATTTAAAAAATTTAACTTTCAAAACTTAAGATAAAAATAAAGATAGATTCTTATACATTATAAAACTGTAGTACATTAAGGATAAAAAAAAATGTGAGATTATCCTCTATAATTGGCTAAGTGCCCTTTAAAGCACATAAACACTTTACTGTTAAGTGAACGTGTCCACTGTAAGGCACTACATACAATTTCAGGTAACTTATAAATAATTATGATTTATGCCGGCCCCCCACTTGAACTATCTCCAAACGCACCAATGCGTAAGTGGCACAAAGCTGTTAAACCATTGTGAACCCAACTAAGTATCTATTTATCAACCAAAATAAATGTATAATTTTACTTAACCAACCGCACAGCCTCACGGTCACACTAGTACAATATTCATATCATCACGGTATTTTTCCTAAGGGGTTGAGCGGAGCTTCAGATTATATTGCCAAGTCACAATGATAAAACTTTTAGTTAGGTATAGATATTTAGTAATGCACCTGAAGCGCCACTAGACGCCCGCGCATGAGTCGCGATAGTATAAATTCCGTAGCATTTGAAACTCACAACGTTCGATGCCCGATTCATGCTTGATGGCCGACGACATTGTGCCGAGTGCTTAAGTAGCGTGGTTCATCGCCTACAGCGTTAGTCGAAGTTAATAGGCTGATGAATTGTCGCAAGTTAAATTGAGCAGTTTTCTAATGACGATATAGTTTGAATTAGGATAATATAGTTTTTTATATATTTTTTTTGCGCCCAGAAGCAATTGGAAAAGGGCTACTCCGATACGAAGGGAGGCGGTAAATGCTTTATACATACCACGACAGCCGGTCTGTCGTGGTTATGCGGGATTCACTATGACTAACCTATGTGGGACCTAAGTGATACCCGCTAAAAACCGCCTGTGGGACTGACAATTGGCCGATAAAGCCGCTTTGTCGGATCGGAAGCGACCCTCTTTTGGGAGAAGAGGGCGCAGGCGGCTACAAAGAATCGCTGAGGAAGAGCCTACTTAGGCAAATTTAAGAAGAATCGGCCTGAGCCGCCAGGAGACAGTTCAGGTCGGTTGAAATTTTATTTGGCGGGTCCGAGAGAGTGTTTCTCGGCCTGCGGACTCGATAGCGAGAGGGGGTGGCGCTGCATAAGTAGCTGCCTCACGAATAAAATGATTGGAATGCGACTCTGAGGCTTTGAAGAAGTTCTCAGAGAATTTTTTAAGGAATTGTTGGATTGTAGGGAGCTCTAAGTTCCGATGAAAGTCGGCATTACGGACGTACCAAGGTGCGTTCGCAGCTCGACGACAGAAGAGGTTTTGAACTACTTGGAGTTCATTAATAATTTAAGGGTCAGCGTGGGCAAAAATGGGGCCCGCGTAGGACATAACTGGTACAACGGACAATTTTTATACATGTACCTATGCCTATATAGGTTGACTTGGGGCGGGACATATTTTTCGTGAATTTTGTTCTAGATCTGCCGTGAATTTAGTAGTAAGTGAATGATTAAAGTGATACAATTTTGTGTATTAAGTGTTGCGCATGTGAATTGTTAGTGGAAACGATGAAACAAGTGTTTCGATTTCGATATAAACCTCAAGTTGGTTTGTTCGCTAAGGCGCTATATGAACTTGAGATACTAGCATCATTGACTATCTGTTGTAAAGAAGTTTTAATCCCGAATGAAATGTAGAAATGGCTTAAAAGATAAGCATGCAAGCCAAAAATATTAATAACTGTGGTTGATTGTTGTTGTTTTTATTATTCGCTCGAGACAGCAGGCAAAGGAAGTAAGCCATACAGCCTTGTCTTTTTTAAGCGTCTCCCACACACAAGCGGCTTGTGGTGGCGGCTTACCGCAGGCCGCGGCTCCAGCCGCTGCAACAACACACCACCGCGGTCGCAGTGGCGGCCTGAAGCGCCATTTTCGATGTGGTGTTTGCGCTACGATCAGAGTCAGTCAACATGACTAACCGTAACGAAGTTTTATTACTCTTATTAGCCATTTCAGAAGATGAAAAAAAAAAGGTAAGTAATAAAATAATCAGTTTAATTTAATAGTTTAGATATCACATGAAATTATCATCAGCATCGCAATTTACTTTTTATTTCTTTCAGGAACAGAGAAGTATGGATCCATGAAATCAATCAAGATCGGCAGCAAGGTGGAGAATACTGGACATTATATCCAAAATTGAGAAAAGATGAAATCAGATTTGATATATATTTCAGAATGTGCACAAAATGCTTCGATTATATATTAGATTTGATAAAAAATGATATACAGAAACAACACACCAATTGGAGAGAACCAATAGGGCCAGAAGAACGATTAGTAGTCACTCTAAGGTAAGTGCTTAGCTGTGATAGAGAATACAAAATAAAATAACTGTAATGAATTTTTATTTTCAACTGAAACTGATACTTCTTATATTAAATAACAAACTAAATTACAGTTAGGAATCTACCAATACTAGTACAAGTACCTACAAACTAAAAATATACTTTTTTGATGACAGCTACTCTTATAATATATAAATATTTAGGACTTTTTTCCAAAATGTTCATTTCCTAGTTGTATTACTATCAATAAATCGAAGTATGTTATGGCTTGGATCAATAAAATTCGGTCTTTGGTCTTCTCGAAAAGTATGAGTGTTTGATGACAGAGTGTGTGATGGTTGCATATATAATGGTGGCAGCGATAGAGTGTTAGATGGGTCAACATTTTCAAAAACTGGAGTAGGCGAAGACACAACATAAACCGAGTCGTTTGTATCTGAACCAGCACTGCTAGCAGGTGGTTGTACTATCATCACAACATTATTTTCTTTAGACTGTTCAGCATCCGATCTATACTGCATTTCATCAGATTCTTCAAGCTCTGCCTTCAGAATTATCTTGGCGATTTCGAAGTTCACTGTGGCTTGACGACGATTATTCATTGTCTTTAATTTCTTTGCGTAGGATTTGAAAAGTAAATCTGTATCATCATAAATTTTTCTGCATTCTTACTCATATAATTAATTACTTTATCTACTTGTGACTGACTTTGATCAGGATTGCGTTTGCGTCGACTATGCACATGCTGAGATGTATTATCCTGTTGAGACTGAGATGAATCATATGGCTGTGATTGAGCTGTATTGATCGGTGAAGATGTGTTTGCCGATTGAGAAGAGCCACTTTCTTGGGCATTCCTATTTATATTTGAATATGTTTCAGCAAATTCCAAATGTGGACGTAAAAAAGTCATTCGTGTCGCCCATGGCCACGTTTTATATCGGTCAGTAGGCTTTGCCGCTTGTCCTGTGCTTCTTTTACAAGATCTCAGATGCTTACTGTAAGCATCTCTTAAGTTCTTCCATTGTTTTTTTAAAGTATCTCCTGTAAAATAAATAAATATTTGTTACAGATATCTTGCAACCGGAGACAGCTTTGGCACCATTGGTCACAGCTACCATATCGGTTTCTCTACTGTTAGCGTTATTATTGAAGAAGTATGTGAAGCTATATGGAAACGTTTGCAACCAATTTACATGCGTGAACCAACTCTAGAAGATTGGGAAGTCTCTATATCTGGATTTTATGAGAAATGGCAATTCCCGAACTGTTGTGGAAGTATTGATGGAAAACATGTTACTGTTAAATGTCCAGATAAAACTGGATCAAATTATTTTTCTTACTTAAGAAAATTTTCTTTTGTTTTATTAGCAATAGTTGGCCCCGATTACAAATTCATTTCCATCGATGTAGGCGGATACGGAAAAAATAGTGATGGGGGTATTTTTGAAGAATCTGTAATGGGAAGAAAGCTTGCTGATGGTACATTTAATATACCTAGTAGTAGACCACTAAACGGCCAAAATGTAAGGACACCGTGTGTTCTGATCGGAGATCAGGCATTTGCGTTGAGCTCTTACATGATGCGACCATATCCCGAAGCACAGGCACGCTATTACCGAAGGAAGGAAAAATTCAACTCCATTTTAGGAAGTGCCAGCCGCGTGGTTGAAAATGCCTTCGGTATATTAAGCTCTAAATGGTATATTTTCCATAGGCCGATGGAAACAAAAGTAACTACGTCAATAACCGTTGTGAAAGCAGCATGTGTATTGCACAACTTCTTGATAGAAAGAAAGGCTGAACATATCAATAATCCCATTGAGGAACAGTTTGAACACGCATTAGAAGATTTTTCACTAAACAACAGAAGATCGTCAAACTATGCATTTTTGATACGCGAACAATTTGCTGATTACTTCAATACTCATGCATAAACACCATATTATCTCACGTAAACTAAAAAAATAAACTTTTAATTTGAACAAAATTTTTACTCACCATCGCTTTCGCTAAGTATTGCAGCAATATTATCCCATATTTTGTTTTTAATTCTAATATTTTTATAATCACGATGTGAATTATCATAAAGTACTGGATAATTTTGCACTGTTTCTATTAAAATTTCCGTATTTAGCGCCGCCATTTTTCACGCGGTACACGCGGCCTGTTGTAAAAATTTGCAACTGGCCGCCGATAGGTCGCGCGCACGCTCACACATACGGGCTCCGTCATTCTTTTTTTTTTGAAAAGTATATGCTGTTGGCCCTGCAGCCTTTTTTTAGGATAAGTGTGACAAACGAGCACACAGTCCACCTGATGGTAAGTGAATACTGTGGTCATAGACATCTACATCTACGTGAAAATGCGTTGTCACCCGAGAGGACTAAGATAGAATGCGTCGTTTCCGGGTATCCGGTTCTCTACACTCACCGTACGAAACACAGCAACATTGAGCTGCTATTTTACGCTCGTATTCGGTGAGAGCGTGGTCCTTCCCCGGTCAAGCCGACCCATTCGTACTACAACTATAGCAGTAATATAGCTGCAGCATGACTACTACATGCAAATGCACGTGCTTTTTCAGCTTCATCGAAATTTTATTTCTATTCTTTTATTTATTATATCATCTTTGTACAATCCTAGCACGTTCACTCGATGCCGCAGCCATTTGAAGGTTACAAAGGGAGGAAAAGCGTCCCCAAATCCTGGTTATTATTAAAATTTTGTAGGCTATTATAGTGCATGTAATTTTGGTTTTGTATGTGAGAATTGTATCTGTTACATAGTAATTTTTTTTTTTTATAAAACGTAACCTCCACACTAGGATTTTCTGCTGTATCGTGGGGGCAATTTACATACATAAATATCACAAGAATAAATATCCAGACACGCAACAATTATTTGTGGGCCATACAAATACTTTTTCCGTGCGGAATTCGAACCCGCGGCCCCCAGCGTTGCAACTCATTGCTAAGCCAATGGGCCATGGAGCCTTCAACAACAAGCTTTATTTAATCTGTGACTCGGTGGCGGGCGGGGCATGCGGCCGCGGTCAGCCGCTCGCAGGCCGCGACAAGACCGCACGTGTTTGTGGACTCTTATAAATTGCAAGCGAATACAACTGGCCGCCACCGCGGCCGCCACCGCAAGCCGCTTCTGTGTGGGAGACGCTTTATTTTGAATATTCCTTCATAGTTCACTGCTTCAGAATATGTTGATGCGTCACATTGTGCAGCCCTTGGTAGATTTTGACGGCAACTTGAGCCAGCAGACAGCTGACAGTTGGCGATGGTATCTAAAGGCGCTTAAACACAAACAGCTTATCTTGAGAATCCATCACCATCAGAGCACTTGTTTCACCGTTTCCACTAATAGTTCACATGCGTAGAAAGTTAACACATAAAATCGCACCACTTTTACATATCAAAATCCACTTCAAACTATTATTTAAACTATAATACAAGAGCAGCAAACCGCCGCCGGTCAAGTTCCCGCCAAAACTCCAACTGTGGTTGACTTGACAACACAGATTAATATGAGTTGACAGTTGACATTGTCATCTGTCATTTGCCACTGCTATCTGGGTTTTTTCAACCTGAAGAAGGGAAAGTATTAATTCGAATGTACTAATTAAAGATTTCGAAACTTACAAGTTTATTTGGATGTAAGATATTGAAATTATGTTGCAATCATATATATTTATTAATAACAATGTTGGATTTCAATTCCTAAAGTATTAATTCATGACATTGTTGAAAACAAGAGAAATAAGCAAACTTGATAATGCACTTTACGCACGTAATACATGTAAATGGCCAATGAAAAAAGGTAACTAGTATTATTGCTTTTGTTGTTTTCTTTTTTGTTTTATATGTTATTTTTCTCGTGAGCCTTATTAGATTTTATTTTCGATATCTCCGAGGATATTTTTACAGACTAAAATTTATTACTTGCTGATAATTTAACTACAAAAATGTGAGAAATGTACGTGTTAAGTAAACGCGAATTATAGCAAAAGAGTCTATTACATAATAAACCCTATTAAGAAACCTTAGACCAATATTCTATTTCAGACGTGTTTACATTCTGTTTTAAAGTATCATTTTGTGATGACTTTACATCACCTAAAAAAACTTTTCGTTAAATATATACCAAATATATAATAAATAAGTAACGTTATATACCACATACATATCCTTTGGTAAGCTAGAGTACTCTAACACTTTATCTTGATACACAGTCTTTCTTGTAGTGTTAGATTAACTTTCAGTATATGGAATCATCTAATCTATTCAATATTCAATTAAACAATGGATGTTCCGATACCACTAGAGTATTTGAACTTCTGCTTTAAATTGCCTCCACAAATCCCTGTTACCAGCTGTTCTAGTCCACATGTTGCCCACCACTGCTTTAATGTCATCTACCCATCTTTTTTTATAAAACTAGTGGTACTTATAGTCCACCTTATGGCAAGTGTCTACTGCAGTATAAGGGCACCTTCAGATAACTTCAATCAAAGAAAAGTTAAAAATTAAAGAAAAAAATATTTTTTATAAAACTGAAGTGACACCTATACTTAGAGCCCCCATGCTGCCTATGGACATCTGCAAACAAATTAAGCCATAATAGCATTGTCACCTCTGAGGACTAAGACGAAATGTCTTGACAGCCTATGATTATATTGGCTCTCTCAACCCTTCAAATTGTAACATAGCAGTGTGCACTAGTGTTTATCAACAGAAAGAGATAAAAGGGTGAAAAACTAAGGCAGAAAAATCAGTCTTACCTAATCCTCTAAAACTAATTAATTACACATAACCATATAGAAATAGCATTTATTTTTCCATAAAAATAAATTTGGTCCGGTTTTGACGGAGGAAACGGGAATATTATGAGATGTTGATTTCATTTTTTTTCATATATATTTTGATTGTTTCAGAATGGCTGTTATTAAATTATGTTTTAAGGATCCATATTAAAAGGATATGAGTGAACCACAGTTTTTAGAAGAAGGCTGTCTTAGTAAGGGCAGCATAACTATGCCGGCGTCAGTCAGGGAGGTTCCAGAGCACTGGAAAGAATTTGCATGTGGTGGAGGGTCTGCCTTTTGCAATATATTGATTAGCTATCCACTGAATAAGATTATATTTAGACAGGTAAGGTCTATTCAACTTCACTCTGTTTATGGGATTGTGCAGGTTTATGATAAAATCGGGCTTTTAATGAACGAACAATTTTTGTTGGCTTTAACTCATTTTCGAACACCCAAACTCGTGACTGGTTTTTTGTTTCGGGTTCGTACGCGTATATCCAGAATTCGTCACCTGATACGATGTTGTATACAGCATTTGAGGATCCTGCGTGGAATCTTTCGAGAGTTCTGACGCACCAAGTAACGCGAGCCGCTTTTTGCTCTTCACAGAGCGAATGCGGTATCCATCGGGAAAACAACTTTTTTACACCTAATTGTTCATGCAAGACTATTTGTATTTGACTCATGCCAATGTCTAAAGTTGCCTGAATTTCGCGGTATGTTACATGTCGATCTTCCTCAATCAACTTACGCACAGCATCGTTTTCTTGGTTGACTGCATTTTTTGGACGACCTTGACGGGGATCATCACTGAGCTTGACACGTCCACGTTGAAATTCAGCAAACCAGCAATAAATTGTGGTTTTGGATGGGGCTTCATCACCAAATGCAGAAATCATCCGGTCAACACACTGTTTTTGTGTTAAACCACTTCAAAAGTCATAATAAATCATCGCTCTTGAATTTTCTCGAGTCAATTCCATTTTCTCAACGACTAAACAAGTTTGACAAAACCTTGTGACAAGACCGAGAATCTTTTTTTAAATAAATAAATGGTATTCAATTTTAAAAAACCAAGGACTTTTCAATTAAAAAGGTTTTAATATGACAGGAACAGTGGAAATATTCCATTCCCGACACATTTAGTGCAGCCTATGTATCTGTAACATATATGGTAAACAAATGTTTCTTAAAGGAGCTCTGTCCTGTGATGAAGTACTATTCTGATCTGTGGCTTGTTCAATCTCATTAGAACCTTGGTTAAACAACTGTTTATTTCAGGCAGGGCCTCCCTAGCTTGTCTAAGTTTTTCCAAAGCTGAGAATGTTGGTTAGTGAAGTTTTTAGGTACCAGTGAACGAATGTTACCAAAGGGGATTGATATGATTGGAACTGGCCCTACAGTGGCCAGAGCCAATACCCTCCTGGCCAGTTCGTCTGCTGCGTTGTTGCCTCTATCGGATACACTGTGTCTCTTTATTCATTGCAGAGTCACATTGCTGTGTTTACATACCTCGTTTAGTTGTTGATCATCATCATCATCATCATCATTACAGCCTTTCATAAATCCACTGCTGAACATAGGCCTCCCCCAAAGAATGCCACAAGGTACGGTCCTGAGTCACCTGCATCCATCGACTTCCTGCATGTCTTACCAGGTCGTCACTCCATCTCGTGGGGGGACGCCCTACACTTCGCCTACCGGTACGAGGCTGCCACTTAAAAACCTTTCTTTCCCATCGGTAGTCGGTTCTTCGAGCTATATGGCCGGCCCACTGCCACTTCAGCTTACTAATCCGTTGGGCTATGTCGGTTACTCTGGTTCTACTGCGGATATACTCATTTCTAAGTTTATCACGCAAAGAAACCCCGAGCATAGCCCTCTCCATAGCTCGCTGAGCGACCTTGAGCTTCCTCATACGGCCAGCAGTGAAGGACCACGTCTCAGATCCGTAAGTCATCACTGGCAACACGCACTGGTTGTACAATTTCGTTTTAAGGTTTTGATGTATGTCTGACAAGAATATGTGTCGTAGTTTCCCGAACGCTGCCCAGCCGAGGTGAATCCGTCGATTGACCTGTCGGTCGAGGTTGGACTTACCTAGTCGGACTATTTGTCCCAGGTAAACATACTCGTCAACAACTTCGAGCTTAGTGCTCCCAACAACTACCGACATAGGTGTGACATGGACATTAGACATGATCTTTGTTTTGTCCATGTTCATCCTAAAACCTATTCGCTGGGAGACACTATTGAGATCATTGAGCATGGTGCTTAGGTCCTCCAGCGATTCTGCCATAAGGACTATATCGTCAGCAAATCGAAGGTGAGTGATGTACCCGCCATTGATGTTAATACCGTATCCTTTCCAGTCCAGAAGCTTGAAAACGTCTTCCAATGCAGCGGTGAAGAGTTTCGGGGATATAACATCACCCTGTCTTACACCTCTCTGCAATTGGACAGGTTTCGTACTCTGGTTCTGTACTCAGATAGCCATCGTAGCTCTACTGTACAACACTTCGATATACCGACAGTCAACTTGGTACCGCTGAAGGGACTGCAGCACCGCCCAAATTTCGACGGAATCAAAGGCTTTCTCATAGTCCGAAGAGTACAATTAGCCACTATGTCTGGCGTATGTGGACTTCTGTACAATTTGCCGAAGGGTATGTATGTGGTCTATGGTGTTAAAGCCCTTTCGGAAACCGGCTTGTTCGGCAGGCTGGAAGTCGTCAAGACTGCGCGCGAGACGATTCGTAATGACTCTCGAAAACAGCACGTAGACGCGGCTTAGAAGGGAAATCGGTCTGCAGTTCTTCAAGAGAGCGTTGGCTCTTTCTGGCTGATGACAGCGTGATCTCTTTTTCCGACTTTGAGCCTTTTAAGACTGGAGCCTTGGTTCCGCTCGATCGCTTCTTCAATACAAGCTGTATTGAAGTTGCGTAAGTCCCGCCGCATGCATTTGGAGATCTGTCTGTTCAGTTGCCTGTATGCTGTCAAATCTGTTGAAGAATGTAGCTTCATCTCCCGTCTAACAGCCATGAGATTGAGAGTGTGATCGGAGAGTTCTTGTGTTCTTCTGCGGCGGGTCTTGCAGAACTTAGCTCCGACCGCATGGACAGTTTCCACGAGCTTGTCATTCATATTGGCCATTTCATTGCAGTCTTCTAGGCACTGAAAACGGTTTTGTAACTCGAGCTGAAAGGTTTCGGGACTTTGGAACAGGGCACGAGGGTGACTGACCGTTGACTTCATTAGACGAGACCTCTCGAACTTAACGTTAACGTGTGTCTCTAACCATTCGGTGATCGCTACCAGTTTTCACCCTCGCGATCACGGAGACATCACTGAACAGTTGTCGGTCTGGTCGTCATAATGAAGTCAATCTCATTTTTTGTGGAACCGTCGGGGCTCGACCAGGTCCACTTCTGTGAGGCCGCTTTTGGAAGAAGAGTTCATCATAAAGAGTCCCTCTTTCTCCATGAAGTCGGCCAGCTGCTGGACCCTTGGGTTCCGTTGCCCTATTCCAAATTTCCCTACTTTCAGCTCACCGTTCACTCTTGTGCCTAGTTTGCATTGAAGTCTCCCATGAACACCGTATATTGGGTTTTGGAGGAATGCATGGCTCTAGAGATATCCTCATACATTTCCTCCACCTCCTCATCGGGGTGTGCCGAGGTTGGTGCGTAAACCTGTATGACCTTTAGCGAATACCGTCTGGTGATTCTGAGTATAGGGTACGCAACCCTCGTCGACACACTCGATCTTTACAACGTTGTTAACGAGAGACTTGTGGACGATAAATCCGACACCTCCTAGGGACAGATGGTCGCCCTCCCGGTGATAGAGCAAGTTGCTCGATTTGAGGATTACCGTGTCCTCCCCCTCTCTTCGGACTTAGGATAGTCTTAAAATATGCCAGCGTAACTTGTCTATCTCTTCTTCCAGCTTCACGATCTTCTCATCAGTCGTCAGGGTGCGTGCGTTGTATGTTGCCAGGTCGAGTCTTCTTAGGTGGCAACCGAACCTCCACCGGAGATTCTTAGCACCCGCCGGGGACTGAGGGCCGTCTCTTTGTTACTCTCTTCATAGGGGGTTATTTGCCATAGTTGCCACGCTTGGCGAGCGGGTTGGCAATCTCAGTTTTTTTATTGTAAGTTTTTTGTTATCAGGAAGATGCTGCTGCCCATTTCCTGCCTGTTTCCCTTTGTCGCCTTTTACGACACCCACGGGAAGATATGGGGTAGTGGATATTCTTAACCGCCACTACACGGTTGTTGATGGCATTCATATATTAATCCTAAAGAACATTGGTCACGGCCCTTACATGCTGTGACCTGGCTATAAAATATCGCAAACATGCTAGTGTATGGATTAATTCGTCCCCCTGGGCACAATATCAATCCTAAATTGAAAATATATTATTTAAAAGCCGAGGATTATAGAACTTTACACTTATGTATTTCGTCACTTGAGGTTTTGATGTAGTCATATTTCTTATCAAACACAAATTGTTTAGGGATCTTACGGTATTTGGATTGTAAGATGGGAGTTTTGGAGTAAATTCTGTCAATTATACCTGTATAGGGTACCTCTTTTTCCATAGATTTAGGACCTTGAGTCTGATGGCAGCTAAAATCGCTTCTTGTTGTATGTGTAGGTGAAGCAGGGTTAGCTCCAGCATAGCTTCTAAGGATACTGTTGGTGTAGTTCTTATGCAGCCCTTGGCAGCCATACATACCAGTCTCTGGTAACATTAAAGCTTCTTAATTGTTGTGGCTTCATTTGTTTTGGTCCACCATACCAGAGCACTGTATGTGGGCCGAAACACGATTTTGTACAGCCACAGTATAATTTTTGGCGTCAAACCTCATCATTCACCAATCATGTTTTTGCATTGCCAGAAAGTTATACTAGCCTTTTGATTTTGTTTTCTATGTGTTCATTTCAATTCAGTTTATTGTCCAAGGTAAGAGTTAAATATTTTACCTCAGAGGATAGTTGGAGTTTTGTGCTGAAGAGACTTGGAAGGTGATAGTTATTCAAAATTCGTTTTTGTGTGAACATTACTAGAAGCGTTTTATTTGGGTTAACGTTTAAGTCATAATTTCTGCACCATCTCAGGTCAGGTCGCACACCATGCTTGCTGTCTTTCCAGAGACCAGTATTGTCAGATCATCTGCATAACCTAGTGTGTAGAAGTGATTGGCATTTAATTTGCTGATGAGTTCATTAATGACCATATTCCACAGGAGAGGTGAAAGAACCCCACCCTGCGGGCTTTTTAACGTGGTAGGGTCATGCTGCAGCTATATTACTGGTATAGTTGTAGCACGAGTGGGT